TTGCAAGCTTCTTGGTAAAGGGGACATTTCCGGCTACCTATTTGATGATCCGAGTTTTCCCTTCCCTTGTTCTTGCACGCGCTACAGGTCGCGTTTTTTCTTGCACGCTTTCGCGAAGTGCCCCTTTTCTCCACATTTGGGACAGCACTGACTTCTATCTTCTGGGCTGCTGCACGCTCTCGCCAGATGTCTGTATTCAAAACACCTAAAGCACTTTTTTGGATTCGGCTTCTCTCTTATCCTGCACACTACCCAGCCTATCTTTACTTTCCGTGCGTGTAGCAGTAGCCTTGCCTCCAGCGCGGGAAGGCTTACCAGCGCCGTTTGCGTACCCGCGTACGCCGCCCTGATGCTTCTGATCGACTGTTCGTCGAAATGGTTTAACTCCCTTATTTGGGTGCGGATGGCCTCGGTAATGTCTTCCTTCGTGGTGATCTCGTCAAGGTCCCGGGTTTCGACCATTACTTCGTGAGTAAGCGCTCTGATTTGTGCCTGATCACCTAGCACTTTACATATTCCGCTCTTAAACTCTTCCATGCTTTTCATTTGCGTTTCCTTCAGCTCCAGCAGGACTTCGCCTTTGGCCGTTTTCCAAATTCGCGATACATTCTCGCCGAGTTTTTTCAAAGCATCATCTTTTTTCGCCGCCCTTAAGATGTCGCTGTAGGACATATCTCCAGTTCGCGCTATAACTATAGCATCGGGACGTGGGGGCGGCTCATACGGTATCTTCTTGCTGCTTCGTGGTTTACGTTTCACCGTTGTCCAGCCTTTTCCTGTTTCCTCCTCCTTTTCTTTGTTCTTGGTAGGGCGACTATCTTTCGTCTCCTTGCTCAAGATGGTTTCTGACTTCCTTGGCACCTCTTCATGTGTGGTTTTGTTCTTCTTAGGTGGCGTTCTTCGCTTCGGCTGGTTTTCATCGCGGGGCCTCTTTGGGGTGGTTTCCGCAGTCGTGGGCATAATGAGGACGTTCCATCTGTCTTCTTTTATTCTGATGTACTCCTCATGTGCATTTGCATGTAACTTTGCTATTTGGCTAAGAATGTCCCTCATGTTGTTGTTGATTGCATCGTCTAGCTCCGACATATATTCTCCGCACGATCGCACTGCTTTCGCCTGTGGCGTGCTATCCTGCAACGCTGGTGGTGAAGACCTCGCTCGTACTGGCTTCTCTACGCTGAGCACCTTTGTAGGCGACCGAACCAGACGTGATGCGCGCTTGAAAGGGTCCATTTCCGCAATCGCAATCTCATGGACGCCTCTGTCTCGGACACTTTGCCATTACCGTCATCCAAGCATTCAGTGGCGCTGCTCATTATGATCCCGTATATGTTGCTGCTGCTATTGTTGCTTTTTGTGTTGTTTCTCATATTTTTTCCATTTAGTTATGTTCTCCAGCGCATTGTGTGCAGGGGGGCGAGCCGAAATAGACAGGAACGGGTATACCTTCGGGGATGATGCCCTACCCCAGTTCCCTGAGGCCTGTCCTTCGCTTTACCAGTCCCAGAAAACACGGATGGACCGGCGCTCGCCCGGAGCAACGCAGGCTACTACTCCTGCGTCCAATGCAAACTTCCTGACCAGGGCCCCAAGGGGCTGGTTACTGATACACGCCGCGGCTGACACCTCGGCAGAGCAGGCTCACATCACCCTCTTCGTCCCACCAGCGGAGAAGTCGCTGTCGAGATTTCAAGGGACTCCCAGTGCGCCGCGACGCGTACTGGTCAGGTTACAATATCAGCCGCACCTGACATGGTGAACAGCCGCTGACCAGGAAGCCGCCCACTGTGGGTCCGTTGCGCCTGGATTTTGCTACTCATCAAGCCCATGCAGGATGAGGGGGACACATACTTCAAAGAGGCGGTGTCGACTCGCCACTGTCACAGAAACTTCATCGGACTTGCTAGCTTTTGAACAGCGAAAAGTGAAACATGTGTGTTGTTGAATAATTGTGCTTCATTCCGCATAGTCGAAGACGATTGTAGTGGATCAGGAGATGATGACTGCTTGTCTTGCGTTGCGTTTGTAAAGTGATCTGAAACATTATTGAGGTGTAGATGAGTGTGATGCAATATGCGGCATACACGGCACCGGGATTGTGATTGACATTTGGATACTGTATGCCCCTTACGAAGACAGTTTTTATTAAAAATTTTTGCCTGCGGCGCTTTTCCCATAAAAATCAATACTTCGATAAATAACTTATTTTACATTTTTATTACAAAATCTCTCCATTTTAGACTGAATCACTTTTTTTATCAATACATCGATATTTAATTTAAAAAAAATTAATTACAATGCCCGTTTTTATTGTTTCTCGGTTTCAGTGCTTCAATTTAATTTTCATAAAAACTATAAGCCTCCGGAGGATGGGGTTTTCAGATTTATAATCACAAAAAGCCGCTCTAAACCCCCTCATATTTCTTCTTTTTTTTTAAAGCCGGGTTCCGTATTGGAAAATTTTCCCGGCTCGCTTCTATCTTTGGGATCGGAACTTGATATTGTGAACTCAGTATTAATACATCTTGTATTAGATCCTGAATAAAGGATGGTTTACAACAAGATGCAGGACTTTGAATCAGTGCCTGCATGGGACGACTTCTATAAGATCTTGAGCCGCCATTGTCAATTTCTTAAGACCTGTACAAAACGATATATTTCGATTTCCAACAACCGCGAGTCCCAGAAGCCTGGCAATAAGAGTACTACTCTTATAAACGCAAAGTTAGGATGTGCATATTGCAACAGCACTGAACATACTATACATAAATGTTCATCGTTTCTGGAGCTAGCAATTCCTCAACGATTTGAATTCCTTAAAAAGACTGGCCTTTGTATCAACTGTCTTCGTTAGGGCCATACAGTATCCAAATGTCAATCACAATCCCGGTGTCGTGTATGCCGCATATTGCATCACACTCATCTACACCTCAATAATGTTTCAGATCACTTTACAAACGCAACGCAAGATAAGCAGTCATCATCTCCTGCTCCACTACAATCGTCTTCGACTATGCGGAATGAAGCAAAATTATTCAACAACACACATGTTTCACTTTTCGCTGTTCAAGAGCTCTCATTTCCACTTCTGTGATCTTAATTCAGGACAAATTCGGCGTAATGCAACCAATTCAATCAGAAGAAGAGCCTTATTGTGAGAAACATTTTCTTGA